TGATCAGAAAATGAGCGCAAATATGACTATTTTCAATCGTCGCGCGAATCTTTTATGACTGACTTATGCTCTGTTAAACCACTGTCGAGACCACGATTGAGTGATGTGTCTTTTAACAGTGTGTCGAGACTGCTCGACTACGAGATCCCCTAAGCTTCGAGCAACTGATATTTTAATAATTCTTCGTGTCTTTCTGCTTCACAAGAAACAACACATGCGAAAAATAATATATAATAACTTTTCTTGTGGATGGCCTCTATTTGAGATAAACTCGAAATCTGCGCTATATACATACACTGACATTTAAAGAATTCAAATCTAGCTCTTAAATTTTCTGAGATCGACATACGGACGGACGGACAGTTTGCAGAAAAGTTGGCAGCACTGCTGCTATCACTTAACAGTGCCGATTGAGTCGCTTAACAGTGGTGAGCTCTCGCGTTTGTTGCGATCGGTCAGTGAATTGTCGCTTGTCTAATTGTTCGGTCGGCCGTTGCAGAGCTCGTCGATTTTTTTTTTTCGGTTTTGTTTCTTTATTTTGTGATACTTCAGTTTATCAAAATCATATATTTTTTTTGGGCCAAAATAACAACCTAATATGAATATTATTGCCAAGCGCAAAAGCAAAAGCAGCCCGTAAAGCCAAAGCCGCAACAAAAGAATAAGAAAGAGAATAAATACAAATTAATTGCAAGAAACAAAGTTCTCTCTAGCTGCGATCATGCGCTGGTATTTGTTTTTCGCCTCTGTCGCTTTCGTCTCTGCGATTGCTCGGGACTCGACTGCGCTGGACGACGCAAAGTCCGAGAATCTTTGCGAGTTGTGCTTCTGCTCTGCCAGGACATTGAGATGCGACTTCAGACATAACCGAACGGTAAGTTTAGAGCACACATTGTGCGGCCTGCGATTACAGTTACATATGTACATACAGACATACATGCATGCATATATATGTATGTAACTGTGTAATTCGTATTGTCTCATTAACCTTGTAGTGAAAAGTGAAAACGAAAACGAAAACAAACACAAATCGTAAGAAGAAAATAAATGTGAATTTGCATTGCGGCTAACGAAACGAAACTAGCGGCAGATCTATTTTTTCTTATACATATGTACATACATATTTAATATTTATGCCGCCCTTGTATATATGTATGTAAAAAAGTCCCAATTCTACTCGCGTTGACTTTAATTTCCAATTGGAATGAGTTGTTCTAAGCCGCAAATAAAAAGTCAACATTTTTAGCCAAAACGCAATATTTTTATGTCCCGCATATACATACATACATACATACATATATACATTCTTGATAATTATCGATTTATCTGCTGTGTGTGCATGTGCATGTGTATGTGTTTTTCTTGTATATGCAGAACAGAAGCTAGCTTTGAATGGTTCAGGGCAGCTCTTAGTTGAGTAGTCCCGATTAGAGCTTTCACATAAATACACATACATATATACAGTATAAATGGTATATGTGTATGTATGTCTGTGGCTAAATCAGAGATGCGCCAAAATTGTAAACAAAGCCGTTGCTGAATTTAAAAAATAGTACGAAATGAAGCAGCTCAAAAGAGAGACAGAGGGAAAAAGCGGCTCAACTGGTTATGCTAATGAATCAGGTGTGTGACGCAGGTGTGTGTGTGTGTGTGCGAGAGCTATGTACATGTGCATAGACATGAACAGAAGTACATGCACACACATGTGTACATATGTGTGCGTGTTAGTGTATATATATATGTGTGTGTTATCAGCTGTTTTTGTTATCGTCGCTGCAAGCATGAAATTATGCCATTGACGGATGTGGGCGTGTACATGCATTATTATCTGCGCATGCGTTTGTGAATGAGACAGAGAAAAGAAGGAATGTCTGTTTAAATGCCTACTAAAACTACTTAAAATCAAATGCGAGTGGAATTGAAAATGAAATGGAAATGGGCATAAGAGCTACTAAAATCCATCAAGAAGCAAACGAAGTGGCATTCTCTCTCTCTCTCTCTCTCTCGCTCTTTCTTTCTCTCACTCTCACTCGCTGTCGCTTTGCCTCTGCCCACACGGCAGGAGGTGCAAGCAAGAATAAATTCTCGTAAAGTGCCTCCACATGTTTTATTTGCATAGACATCAAGAGGTCAACAATAAGATATATGTATGTATATGTATGTATGCATAGCTATAAATACAGCTAGAACTAAATTATAGATCCCTTTGCCTTGACGAAGAACTACGTCGGCCGATCTCCAAACAGTAAATAAATCCATAAAATTCATGATTTCTTTTTAAATACACACACACACACACACACACAAATTTTATTCTGTTTCTCTTCCCAAATCCATATCTAAAAACTTAATTTGCAATTCATCGCATATTTTGTAGTTTGGAAATACACATGCATGTGTACATATGTACATATGTATGTATATGTATTGTTGTGTTTTTGTATATTTATGTTTTGCAGCATTTGAACGTTTCAAGAAAATCGATCGTTAAATGTGTTTTTTATCATCATCATCAGCTAACTTTATAAGAGCTTAACTTATTCTCTATCAAAGATAAACAATAATAATGTGTAACATAGTGTATATGTAAATCTAAATAAATACATGCATATAAACCGTAAATAAATAATAACACATATCTTAATCAAAATTAGTTTTAGTTTAGATAATAGTAATGATCGATGTGCCAATGAGTAACAAAGAGAGTATATTTATTATAACTTATGAAAATGCATTTCACAAGCTCTCAATACACACACACACGCACACACACAGACACAGAGAGACTCAATACGGACGTGCTAAGCGTCCATCACGTAATCTTTTAGATACAATTTCTTCGATAAGAGAGCATATAAAGAGTAGATACGTATGTATGGATGTATGTATGTATGTATGTGTATACCAATACATACATACATATACATATATGTAAGTTTGCTGGCCGCTTGCTGTTCGCGCAGCTATTGGAAAATCTGGAAAATCCTGATCTGCCATGCGGCTTACATATGTGTGCGTGCGTGCGTGCGTGTGCTGTTGTGTTGTTATTGTTGTTTTTGTTTTCGTTTTCATTTTGGGCAGCAACACGCGTACGAAGTAAAACTGTAAATTATTCTCAACATGTGCCGCGAAAATCTTTAACACAAATGCACATCATAATTTATTTTAAATTGGTTTTCAGTTCGGCTTATTTATGTACATATGTATGTATGTATGCATATATACAGATAGACACACTATACGCATTTATCTAAATATATATAAATACATACATACATACATACATACATACTATATGCATGTTTGTTCATAATCATATATCAGCTAAAAGTGTCGGCTGCTGCTTCCGCCTGCCTCCACAGACCCCCCCCCCCCCCCCCCCCCCCCC